GAATTTGTAGGTTTAAAAGCTAAAATGTATTCGATTTCTGGAGAGCGTTATGAGAAAAAAACGGCAAAAGGTATAAATAAATCAGTTGTAAAATCAACTTTTCATCACGAGCTATATAAAACTACTCTATTTAAAAAACAACAACTTCGTCATAACCAAACTCAAATAGTTAGTAAAAATCACGTTCTCACGACTCAATTTCAAAATAAAATCTCGCTTTCCGCTTTTTACGACAAGAAATACATTTTAAGTAACGGAATAGATACTTTATCTTATGGTCATTATTCTATTTCTTCATAATCATTTTTTCAATTCATTTATTATTGTATTTTATATTGTATTAATTTTATACATTATTGTATTCATTATTTTAAAAAATTCTTAAATGAACATGTAATCTTTTAAATAATATTATAATTGTTATTTTTAATGAAAAAATGTATTCATTTATTATTATTGTATCCATTTTTTGTATTAATTTTTTACATTATTGTATTCATTATTTTAAAAAATTCTTAAATGAACATGAAATCTTTCAAATGATATTATAATTGGTATTTTTAATAAAAAAAAAATGTATTCATTTATTATTATTGTATCCATTTTTTGTATTAATTTTTTACATTATTGTATTCATTATTTTAAAAAATTCTTAAATGAACATGAAATCTTTCAAATGATATTATAATTGGTATTTTTAATAAAAAAAAAATGTATTCATTTATTATTATTGTAACTGTTTTTTTATCTCAAATAAAAAGAGAGAGAGAGTTGTCGTGTGGTTTATTTAATCACCGTCGCGACACATAATAAATAGCGTTAAAAATATTTTAAAAAATGTTATTTAATATGTTTCTTACCAGATGGCGCCACTCGCATTTAAAAAGTTGATCGCTTGTATATTTTTTAAAACAAAATCACTTCTCTTATCTAAACAAAAATTACAAAAAATATATCGTTATCGCAAGCGATTTATTCCAGAAACACTCGTTCAAATCGCGCAAAAAAGTATAACCGAAGGAGCATCGAAAATGGGTGTGGTTTCGACTCCTATGAGAGTTTCTGGGATGGTAATTATCTTGGAATCGCTCGAGAGATTCTGCGGTTTTGCACGATTTTAGCCCCTGCTCGACGTCTTTCCCTCAAAATGATGAGAGTTTCTGAGATAAAAGTTATAAACCCTTGCGAAGTTAATCAAATTATCCCAGAGTCTCTCATATATATACTACTGATTGTCTGTCCATGGTGAGAGCAATAATGGGGTAATTGGGTTGGATTTGTATAAAGGTTTATAAAGTAGGAATGTATGTAGGAAATTTTACGATTTCATATATATCAAAGTATCCACTAGGAGTGATTAAAGGAATCTTGGCGAAGATTCTCAGTTTACCGGGTAATGCGACTGCAATTGTAGAGATCCACTGATAGTATTTAAACAAGGTCTCGCGTTGGATAGGTTCAATCATCGCGTAACCTTTTGGAAGTTGGGTTTGGATCTCTCGCAGGGTTTTAAATAGAATTTCACGGGATATAAAATAGGTGCCTAGCCGGGTTTGTTCGAGCGTATCTATCGCTTATCGTAGCTCGATCATTTGAAAGTGGAATTCTTGAATGGAAAATTCTACGGTTTGTAGAATAATTTCAAAAGCAAGATTATAACGGTAAGAGTTCATGACCTCTCCCAGGGATTCTTGTCGCTTTGATAAGACATAAATTTGGTGTCAGTTGTTCTTACTAATATTTAAAGTGTCATTGAGTAGGGTAGTTTGCACTTGTAATATATGGATAATACCTTCGTTATGCTGTTTAATTTGGGAAATCTCCTTATTCAAAGCTTCAATGTCCTCAGACGTAGCAGTCTCAAAAAGGAATTTAAGGGCTTTCTCCCCTAAGTCTATCAAACCTCTCTTTCTTTTAAGAGGGATAGGTAAGGTGATTAGGGTCTGTAGTTCTCGATATTCCTTTAAGTAGTTAAGGAAGGAGTTCTTTATCAACTCATAACCTTTGGTAGGCAGTGGAGGTGTGCCATTATTTGGGAGATATTGGTCTTGACGTTCGATTATTGCCTCCAAATAGGAAAGAGAGTGGGATATGAATTGAACCTGTCGTTCCACATGTTCAAATGTGAGGTCATTAACTAAAGTCCAATGGCTCGAAGACATCAAGAAATTTCCTTGATGCAAGAAAACTACTACTTTTGTAAATTCGATTGGTCTCAAGGGAGATTCCAAGGCAGTACATTTTATACTTAGGAAAATGAGGAGAGTTTGAGAAAGAACCATCCTGATTTCGATTAGGATTTATCTCCGGGGTAGTTGTTTCCCTGTTTCCCTGTAACAGGGAAATAAGTATATTAATTAACACCTTAACGCCCGGTCCCGAGTATACTCGGGCAACGTTTTCACTAAGAGATGCCCGGTCCCGAGATAACTCAGGCAAATTTAAATAATCGTACGTAACTTCTCGTTGGTCGAAATAATTCAAATAAAGCTAATTTACATTCTATTGGATGTTGTTGATGACCTCAGCAAGTTTCGTAATTTTACACGTAATAGAAGTTTATTTTTTGACCATTTCTTTGGTCCCTATCTATAGAGATAGTATATCGAATGGAAAAATTCGTCATGTATTTGAGTGTTTACGGTAACTGATGCACATCTGTCTACAAACCGGTCTTCCCCTGCGATTTGTATGAGAATATCCCGCTAATGGCTATAAACAGCTGTTCTCAAGGACATTACGCTAACTACACCGAACAGCGGCGCGTGTCACGTGATCCGTCGCGATTTTTTTTTATTTTAAAGACAATTCGTTTTTAAATAATATGCAGTAAAGGAAATTAAGTTATATGTTAAAATTTTTTAGAAATCTAATTCATAATTTGGTGTATTAAATGTTTTTTTAATTAGTTTTTGGGAGTTTTTCCTGTAAAACACAAAAAAACAATGTTAGGTAAATGAGGTTTAGATTAGCATATAATATAGGTAATAACAAGAAAATAAAAAAAAATTATCAGAAAATAACGTAATACAATCGAGTATTTGCAGTAACTAGTTCAGACGTGTGTAGGAAACCTACTTCCCCTCAGGCTGTTGTTGGGAACAACCCGCGAAAGCTTACAATCAGCTGTTTTCAAGGTCGTCCAGATGTTTATCTGTACTGAAGCTTGTATCGAGTGTCTCTTTGCCAGTATTGTGTTACATAAAAAATAATAAGTTTCTAAATAATACATTATAAAATAAATGAAGATTTATACTATAATTTTCTATAAATTTATTTTATAAAATGGTGTATTATAAATTATTTTGATTTTTTGTGGGAGCTTATTGTAAAGCTTTTTATGTCAAATAATGTCTCAACAAATACAGAAATAAACCAATTACAGTTCTAAAAAGATTACTATTGATTTTATCAGCCAATAATCTGTCTTCTTACTGCTAATTACTTTACAATGGTAAGGGACTGACTTTCCTGAAATATTTATGACTTAGGGTGGTGAGAAAACATTTATTGGTTCAAACAAATAAAAGAAAGCAAATCAAAGCTTAGATAGCTACGAACTTCATTTCATTTTTTACATTACCTTCATTATATATTTTGTGGTTAACTTTTTTAATTATTTTATCGCTAACCGACGAATGGCAGCTTCTCGGCAAAACTAATAATAGTACAGAGAAGCCGAATCGCAGGGGGGCCCTGTAAAGTTGGCTATCCAAAGGAGAAGATGCCATTTAGGAACCAATTTTAACAAATTGAAAAAATTCGAATGAAACTTTTTTCCAGATAAAATAGATGCTTTCTTTTAAATAATAATAAACAATTTTTTCATTTAAAGCCCTACTTTTTAATAGTTCGTACGGTGAGAGGTTAATATTAACATTATAATTGTGGTACTAAAGGAATTGATAAGATATTAGTTAGATATTACTTCGGTTCTTATATTGGGTTAATTAGTTAGGTTTTTTTTTTAATTAGTAATTAGTAGGGTATTTTTTCCTTCGAAAGTTAAGGAGACGAGGACCGACTAGTGGCAGGAGAAACGAACCGAGGGATTCGGCTACGACTGGGTCATGGCATGACCCATGGTTGGTCGGCTACTGGTCCTCGGCTTCATAGTGCATAAGGAGGTGTAGGTTTTAGTTCT